TTTTACTTAATACCTTCAAGTGATCTACATTTTCTTCCCAGGGAGTCTTGCATGCATACTCTGAACGTTTTGTGTTTCTGCTCTGGCTGAACCTGACCTCATGACCAGAGCAGAAAAGATGAATAAGGTGGAAAGTTTCCTGTATGGAAGGGCCATGAATTTCAGTGTCTGGGCACCTGGATGGCAGAGAGAAAGAGAGTAAGGTGGATGGAGACAGTGGAGACCCTTGTTGGCACAGTGGGAGTGTGGAGCTCATTGTTGCGTGATAAAGACCACTCAATCCTGAAAAACCATTCTGAAGGAGGGTTTCCTGGGGGTTGAGGTTTTCTTACACCCCTGTCCATGCTTGCAACCATGTGCTTTTGTCTGCTTCTGTCTTTGCATTGTGATAGCTTCAGAGTATTCTTCGACAATGGAGCTGAGGCACTTCCCTAGAAGAACCAAGACTGGGAGCAAAGCTCTCTTGCAGAAATCCTTAATCCTCATGAACCTGTTACATGTGCATTGGTTTTGGTCACACCCTTGGCCTGTATGGTAGACCCGGATGGAAACTTTATAACTAACCTAGAGTTACTTCCTCATATGTCCAGATCCTAATCAGAAAAATCGAGTTTCAACACTCAATTTCTAAATGTTGATTTCAATTTTAAATATTGCTTATTCAAATAATTTTTCAAACTATATAAAAAATTATTTGGAGCAAATATAAAAAGCCACTAAAATGAGAAACCTTTCTGTAAAGGCTGTAGGTCATATGGGAAAATAAATGCTGAAAAGATGGAGATAACATCTCATTTAAAGGCTTGTGTTTACAGGACCTTCAAGAAAGTTACACTATTTAATCTTCAATAATCTTAGGTGGTTGCTAAAACTGATACTACATTTGTCATTTCAGAGAATGTATCAGAAAGAGTGGAAAAGAACTTGCCCAAGATTTTTTGGTTATTGGCACCTAGTTTCCACATGGCAAGCACTCCAGACATATTTTCTCATTAATCCTCCCAGCAAGGTGTAATGAGCTTCATTTAGGGATTAGAATCATACACCATCAACAGTGGGTAGCATTTATCAAACTGCCCCACCAGTGGTGTCTTGAACACCAGTGAAAGGCTTTAAATGAGCTATCTCATTTTATCTTCATAGCAGATATTCTCCCTAGAAACTTGGTATTCTTAGAATCTCAATTTTACAAAAGAGGACAAGTAGTTTTTTAAAATGATCAAATGACTTGCCAGGGTAAAGCTGGCATTAGAATCCCGGCTGTCTCTTCTGAGCTCTTCACCTCTATAGTGTGCTAAGAACTGCTAATGCCTAAATATTTGATTAACCCAAATGTCTTCTCTGATAACTGACAATGTGTCTTCTGCAACAGCAATTTCATAGAGTTCAACTTAATGCTGTGTATTTTATCTGTCTCCAATCAATCTTAAACTAATTTCTAGAAATAGGAAACAACTCTACATAAGTGGATCTGTTTGGGAGAATTTGTAATTATGTTGAGAAGCCTGCTGATCATTTATTAATCTGTGAAAATTCCTCAATTTGAAAACTGAGGGAAATTCACACATAATGGTTATAGTTAATTAGAACTTACTATTTTTCAGATATTTCTTTCAGTCATAAATTCATTTCATGAAAGTTACTTCAGTTTAATGACAATGCAAAAATGACATTATAAAAATTATGAATAAAAACTTAGTCACCTCTTTCAGCAGAAGATTTTATTTTTAGCCATTGACCTTAGTAACATCTAATTAAAAAATGTATGTGATGTCTTCATTTGACAGTGGTGATTGAAAAGAATTAAAACTAAAACTAGGCCCCTCCCTGGTGGCACAAAGGGTTAAAGTGCAGCGCTATGCAGCTCACCACAGCCACTGCACCATGGGTTCAATCTCCAGCCAGGGAACAGACCCATATGGCACAGCATACCTCTCCTGTCTCGCCTGCTGTTTCCCTCAGCAGTGTATTTCAGCCACTCTCCTCTCCACTCTGGGAGCACCTCTGGCCTGTACCCCAGTTCTTTAGTGCATAAATGAATAAGTCTTAAAAAACAAAACAAACAAAAAACTAAAACTAAACCCAGTAGAACTTTACTTCTGTTTTTTGTTCATTGTAAAAATTGTTTTTGAAATAGCTAGCTCTTTTAATTTCCTAAACTGCACTGATGGTCGTTAGTTAAGGAAAAGTCAACTCTGTTGGGCTAGTTTCAACTTCAAGGAAGGCATGGGACATTCTTTGATGTCACATCTGAGAAGTACAGAATGAGTCTAGCTTATGTGTGCTAATTCTTCCCTACGCATGTGTTTGCCCTGAGAAACTCACATGGACGCCCTTCTTCAAGCTGGTTCTACTCCATCCCTGTACCTTAAGTTGGAACATGAAAGAAGTTTTTTGAAGAAACTGATGTCACGTTCTGAGAAAGAACTGTAATGATTGAGTACAAGTCACTAGACTGTGCTTATCAGGGTCTGTCTGGAATCTTTCTACTTCAAACATAGTGCCTTTTCGTCTGCTGTGCTTTTTAATTTGTGGGTTCAAAGCTTCCCTGCTGACACAAATTATTATACTACTCTCAAGAGAAAGTAGATATACATATCCACTACATATGAGATACATGCATAGGTATTATGATTTTGGCAATCAAAAATTTTTTAAAGGGTGTTGATTATAAGAACTAGTTTAACTATAATATTAAAGGTTAATGGAAGCAAACTCTTCATCCCTATATGTGTCAGACTGAATAACACATTACTGTATCCTTTTCCTTTTGTGCTTGTGTAAGAAAATGTTTTATGTAATTAGATCCTGATGGTGGAAAATGGGATGAAATCCCTGGGAAGAAAATATGCATAGGATTTTCTGTCATTTATAGATATGCTTTACTTTGCATAAAATTACAAACATTACTTTGGATTTTTGAAGGTATTCAAAGTCATGATATGGAGAATAGGTCAATTTTAATATTGATATATGTTAAATATATATATATATAAGTGTATATATATATATATATATATTTTTTTTTTTTTAACCATGTAGCCACTGAATATTGTTGATTATAAGCTGTGTTTTCAAAATGGTCATTCATGAATCACCTTCATGATTTTGTTCATATTTGAACATAATGTTTATTATTTATTTGAAATTTTCTTTAAAATAGCATCTGAGTGAAAGTTTTCGGAAAACAAATTCTTATCACTACCATTGCTGTTATTATTAAGTTAGTTAATTTCTTAAATATAGCTGTCTTTTTAAGCTTTGTTAAAAATATCTGTTTTAGTATTGTTTTTCCTTATTATCTTTTAAATATTGCCTGTACTTTCTATTACTGCCACACTTTACTAGTTACATTTTTCTAGTGCCCATTAAAAATATACATGCTGGGTCCTCCCTGGTGGCGCAGCGGGTTAAAGCGCTGCACCGAGAAGCTAAAAAGCCACTTCCGCATGAGTTCAATTCCCGCCTGCCCCGGAGGAGACCACATGGCGTGGCAGACCTCTCCTGGCCCGCCCGCTGCTCCCCTCAGCAGTGTACTTCGTTGATCTGCCTGTTCTGCTCCCCACTCTGTCTCTGGTGAAGCTTCTCACCACCCCTGAGCCTCTGCCTGTACCCCAGTTCTGTATGTACAAATAAATAAATCTTAAAAATATATATATATATACATGCTGGGAAAGAAAAGGGAAAATACCGGCTGGTTTCACTCATAGCAGGAGTATAACGGACCAGTCGAGAAAATAATAATAATAATGAACAGCCATATATCAGAGACATTTTATGGGGGTGGAGTAGGGAATAGGATCAGAAACGGTGGGGGGAGGGAAGTGCACTGGACTATGGTAATGGCACATGGGTGATCTGGTGATGGGAAGCCCATGAGGATTACAACTGAGATGGAAAAATTATATTATTTAGAAAAAAAAAAAAACATGCTGGGGCCTCCTTAGCGACCCATAGGCTAAGTCTCAGTGCACCACCGCAAAGGTCTAAGTTAATACCCAGCCAGGGAACTAACTCACATGGGATAGCAGATCTCTCGTTTTTTGCCCAGTGCTCCCCTCTGCGGTGTATTTTAGTTGATCTGCCTGCCTGTTCTGCTCCCTACTCTGTCTCTACTGAGTCCTCTCATCCACCCCCCAGCACTCGTGGCCTTACCCCAGTTCTTCCATGCATAAATAAATAAAACCTTAAAAACAATTGTGTATAAGTGTGCATAGAAACTTGAAAGTAAAAAGTTATTTAAAATACAAATATGTATGTATACTTGCCAATGAAAATAAGCAATTAAAGTAGAAAAAAAAATCCATCCACACACCTCTCAACAGCAGTTGGCATACCTGAGGCAGACCTTCGTCAAATGTTGGGAACATGGCTGGAAGTGAAGATGGGCCGACAGAGAGTGCCTTAGAATGAGGTTCTGTTGAATCTTGGCAAAGGCTTTTCCCATCCTACATGACCCTGAGAGTCAATCCTGCAATTCACTTAAAGAGGTGCCAAGTGGTGCTTACTGTCCTCTTTCTTGAAATATTGCCCCATTCGCTCTTGAAGAGTCCCCTTATTAAGGGAAGGTGACCTCGACTTTGTAGGCCTTTGAGCATGCAAGCTGTAATGAATTTTGTATTTTTGTGAGGCTTGCTCTAAATGGGATTCAGCATGGTGCTGGTGCATGTATGTAAAAAGATGACCAATTGAAATTCAAACATAATGAGGATGAAGTTTGCTATTCAGCACAGCCGCTTTTGTTTTTAGCTCTAGTAGGTTCTTTGACCCCAAACAATGTAACTTGCCTCTTCACTTTAGAAATCACCATGTCTAGCTGGGTAGGATCAACATCTTTTCTAACCCATTCCGGAAATGAAATACAGTTTGTTCTGGTTTTCTAGTTTTATGAAAAATAAATAAATAAATAAAAATTATGTGCTGAAAGATTTGGATGTGAAGTCTTGAACAAAACAAAGTATTCTTTCTAAAACATGCAAATGTGTCTCTCCATCACCTAGGAAACTATTATGGGACACCCAAACCTCCTAGCCAGCCTGTCAGTGGGAAAGTGATTACTACGGATGCCTTGCAAAGCCTTCAGTCTGGCTCCAAGCAGTCGACCCCAAAGCGAACCAAGTCCTACAATGATATGCAAAATGCTGGCATAGTCCACACTGAGAATGAGGAGGAGGATGATGTTCCTGAAATGAACAGTAGCTTTACAGGTAAAATGTATTTGACAGTCCCTCTCAATGCTTGTGGGCAAAGTGGGGTGAGGGAGGCTTTTACAGAGAGCTAAGGCATTTCTATTCTTGAGCAATTCAGATGGGTTACCTGAATTCAAACTAACTCTGTCTTTTTTTTTTTTTTCCTTCATGTTTCTTCTTAAGAATATTTGAACTTCACCCAAATTATCTTATGGGGGAGAGAGGAAAATATCTGCAAAAATGAATTAGTAATAATCAGCACTGTTTCTTCTCTTGGAAATAATATATATGAATATTTGTATTCTGTTCATGTATTTCTTCATTTTGACACTGTTCCAAAGTGTAGCAACTGCAAAAAACTAAGGAAGTCTGGTCTGTAATGTTATGGCTTTGGGAACCATCTTGTTTCGTTTACTTTTCTTGTGCTTAAGTATTTCTTTAGTATTTTAGAATTATGGTGTGGAACAGTTACTCACTTCCAAGGTTGGGAGTCTTCCTTTCTCATAGTAGCTTTTTCTGACACCAGATTTGGTTGAGCCTGGGCAATTAATAAGCTATGTATTATATACCTTGTTTCATAATAATGGAATGTTTAGGGAAAACTTTGTATTAGTTAAATGCTTTCTCTTGATTCTATGGGTCTCTCTAAAGTTCACTCATTTATAAAATTCAGAAGTCTAAAGTTCTGATCTGACAATTACAGTTTTTTTCATAGCTTTATTGTCCTACTAGCAGCCCAATGATTCTGCCAGAAACATTGGATAAAAGAGAAAACCAGGTGTTTTATACAAGCTTAGACCTTGGTGGTTGTTTATTAGAACATAACATCTAACTTCCCTGATCTGTAAAATATACTGGTTCTGATTAAATCATCTCTAACATCCTCTTCCAGCTCAAAGAATTTGGTGCTATGAAAATTTCTATTTTCTCAACTAGAATGGCCATTGATTCCAAGTAGCAAGGAGAAATTTGTCATCCTTTATATAGGCTTTTATTGACATCAGTTGATTTCATCTACTTTGAAACATGTTACCCACTTAACAGTAGTCCTTACCAATTTGAAGGCAAGTTGTGAAAAAGTCAGTATGTCTTTTTAAAAAGGAATTGACACATTAATGTTCTGATCTTTCAACAAAGACCAATTTGGGGTATACCCACAACACAGGTAAAGCCACAGTGGTCGACGAGTTCAGAGGTAACATGCAACAAACTAGTTCTGCTAAGTTTGCTGGCTAGTCCTCAAGAAGCATGTCGGCCTTTATTTCTCCTCCATTCAGTTATGGAGCTATTTTGGTAGAAATTTCTTGTAGGGTAATTGACTATAGGTCTCGATAGTTTTCCTGTCTCTGATGACTATATATGTATGTCTGCAGAAGCCATGCTTCAGAAAATCTGATCCCATACACTCCCCACTTGAAAGCTTTTCATCAAAGGAAAATTGTTGCGTGCACATCATCATTGCTCATGTCAGTCTGATCATTAGATTCTGCACGTAATGAAAGCCAAATGCCACCTGAATGTTTGATTCAAGTTCCTGTCTTGACAGCAAGAAAGCCTGTAGCATGCACACAGGGAAATTTAGCCCAGAGATCAGCATGCTATGGGACATCCTCAATATATAAAGACTATCTTCAACATTTCTCCCCTCACCAAACCACAACCATGACAGCTGACGACCTTCATACATTAATTCATAGATTCTTTCCAATAGTTGACATTACCCAGCCTATGATATGTATATCAAACTCACTGTATCAAAGCATTTTGCACTCTGGACCACTCTAACTAGCAATCTACCAGCTATTTCAAGCATAGAGTGACAGTAGCATAGTGAGGGCTTGGATCCTGGGGGGATCAGCTAAGATAAAGGCATGAGCATCATATCCAAATGTAGAAAAACTATGCACTGTCAAAATTTTTATTTACCAGGGTATTTCTAATAATATGTTATCATTGTGATCTTAACTGATTTATTTTGAGTTAGACACAGAATGTTTAAATAGCATGCCGTAGCAACAGTGGCATTTCTGTAGGCAAAGAGTAGAGAACCTAATACCCAGAAGCATCCTTTCTGCTGGCAGTGATGGCTGCAGGAGCTTCGCGATGAGTGGTCACCCCGAGTACATTCAAATGGACTGTTGGACACAAAGCACTGAGAAGTCTTCCACACATCATCCCTAAATTATGGTTCTGAAAGAACCATTTGGGGAGGGGGCATTTATTTAAGATATTCTTTATCTCTTTCTTTAAGAGAGAGTACACTCTGTGTGCTTCGTGTTAGTCTTTGCCAAAGCACACAGTTATTTATACAAATGAGTAAAAAACATTTGTGAAAATATTTTGTTCATTAAACAACTTCCACCACAACTAAAAAAGTAGCTGGTTCATTCCCATGTTCATTGCTACACTATTTATAGTAGCCAAGTTATAGAAGCAACCCAAGTGTCCAAGCACAAATGGCTGGATTAAGATGTCACACACACACACACACACACACACACACACACAGGAATACTACTCACTTATAAACAAACAAACATGAAATCTTGCCCTTGCAACAACATAGATGGAACTGGCAGGGATAATACTAAGCAAGTAAGTCAGAAGGACCAAGACAAATCATAAGGTGATTTCACTTATGTGGGACAAAGGAACAGGCAAAACAAACCCTAGAACCATGTAGAATTGAGTCTACCTGAGAAGAAAAGTGGCCCAGTAGACTGGGGTAGAGGACTGTAGGTGTTTTGAGGCAGTAAGATAAATTTGAAACAGTGTGAATTTTATATATATATATGTTTGTGTGTGTGTGTGTGTGTGATTTATATCTATACAAATTATATATAATTTATATCTATACATAAATTATATACAGTGTTGTACCTCAGTAAAGTACATTTTTTTAAAAGTAGCTGCTTCTACCACTAATTACCTCCAAGATACATCAAAATGTTACTTAATTACATTTCTAGAGGGTTTTTTTCCCCCTCCCTAATAGCCTCCTATTGTTGAACATTAAGTTCCCATGTCTTTTTCATTAGCATATGATGATAAAACTTTGCTTTGGAATTATGATTTTATTTTAAGTAAAGTGATGATGCTATTACTAAGAGAGCTAATGTTTCTCTGGTACTAATTCTGTGGCAGGCACATTGCTAAGCTCTTTTTGGATAGACCAAGGAGAGCAAATAGTTTCTCCAATATCAACAAAAACACTGGTGTTATAACTATCATTTCAATCCAGAAAGCCTTCAGAACCTGAGTGCTCATCCACTGTGTGACCTACATTTGAAATCAAACTTCTTAGGCATAATTAGCCTCAAAAAGTTTCAAGTGGTTATGCACAACAAGGAAGGTATATGAATCTAAAGGCAAGTATGTTATAAAGTAAGCTCCAACACGTATATTTTAACAATGCACTAAAACATCTACAGTCCTCCACCCCAGTCCATTGGGCCACTTGCTGCTTTTTCTCCTCAAGTAGACTCAATTCTACTGGGTTCTAGGGTTTGTTTTGTCTGTTCCTTTGTCCCACATAAGTGAAATCACCTGGTATTTTTCTTGGTCCTTCTGACTTACTTGTTTAGTTATCCTCGCATCAAGGTTACTTTCAGAAGTGTGTCTGTGTATGCATGTGAATACCTGGATGCTGCTGATTTACTGTGAATGAATTCATCTATGGTTTACATGTATTCTGTAAACTTCTGGGATTCCTGAATGATAAGCAACACAGGTGTTACCATCCTTGCTTTGCAGAAGAAAACATGGAGGGATGGTACATACCAGACATGGGAAAATGAGGTTTCTTGTTTCTATCCAGTCTGTTTTCCAACAACCCATTTTACATGTGGCTCTTGGGATTCAGTAGTAATCCTGATTGTTTGGTAAAGTCAATGAAAATTTTTCTTAAATCAGAACATATATACATAGCATGATGAGGATTTTGAATTTTTTATTTATATGATATATATATCATATATATCGACACATGTATATATAGATCAAATTGTCATTATGTATGCTAAATAGCTTACAATTTTACCAGTTTATAGCCCAAAGCTGAAAAAAAATTAAAAATCTAGATTTTACATGTCAGTCGTATTCAAGAAGTGATTTAAAAAAAAAAAACAACTGTGGGCCCTCCCTGGTGGCGCAGCAGGTTAAAGCACAGCACTGAGAATCTAAAGCCACTTCCGCATGAGTTCGATTCCCGCCTGCCCCGGAGGTGACCACATGGCATGGCAGACCTCTCCTGACCCACCCGCTGCTCCCCTCAGCAGTGTACTTCCTCCATCTGCCTGTTCTGTTCCCCGCTCTGTCTCTGGTGAAGCCTCTCACCGCCCCTGAGCCTCTGGCCTGTACCCCAGTTCTGTATGCACAATAAATAAATCTTTAAAAAAAATAATAAAAATAAAAAAAACTGAAATAATAAATTCCTGGATATATTTTTCAATAATTTAAGGGCCCTCCCTGGTCGCACAAGGGGTTAAAGTACAGCACTGTGCAGCTATCCATGGCCACTGCAGCACAGTTCGAGGTAACCCATACAGTTGCGGCAGGCCTCTTCTGTCCTGCCTGCTGCTTCTCTCAGCAGTATGTTTCAGTCGATCTGCCTGTTCTGTTCTCCGCTCTGTCTCTGGTGAAGCCTCTCACTGCCCATTTATCTCTGGACTGTACCCCAGCTCTGTGTGCATAAATAAATATATCTTTTTAAAAAATAAACAAGGTCTCGTTTCTGGAGCAATATTTTTTTTTCCTTCCAAGAAATTAAGATAAGTTAGATATTTTCTTTGCAAGCTAATATTCCTTCATGTAGTTGACACCTTCAAACAACTGAGAACGTCGTATATAATTAAAAACAAGTTGCATGCATTCATTGCTAACCTGAGTTTGCCTCTAGTTTGCCACTTGTTGCCATTATCTTTTTCCTCTTAAAACCAGCTTTTCTTAAGTGTTCCTTTTTAAAAATTAAAATGGCATGCCTCTATTGATAGTATTGCCATGGCACGTCTCTGACTCTTAAATGATCACTGATGGACATTTGTATTTCCAGTATCAGGTCTCAGACCATAGCTCCCCCAGGCAAGCAGAGTACCCAGTATTGGTGCCAGCACTTGTGGGAATCAAATCTGGCAGCTACATTATTTCATAGTATCTACATTTTTCCCAGTTACAGAGGCGGAAACAGAGACTCATCTAGCTGCTGCCTCTCCCAAAGTCACACAGCTAGAAGCAGGCAAAACTATGATTCGGTCTGTGATCTAATGTCAAATTCGATTTTTTTCTTGTGTATTTAACAAACTGGTAGCCTGAGAGCCAGAACTAACTCAAAGACAACATTCACAACAATTTTGATTAGAGAATGGTGAGTGCTTTGTGCCAAACCCTTCACTGACTGCTTTTCACAAATTAGCTCATGTGGTCTTCCCATGACCCTCTGAGGTACTTACTGTTATCTTCTTCGAAGGTGTCAACTATATGTGAAGAAACTAAGGCACACAGAGCTATTTCAGTCAACTTAGTGAAGGGCAGTATTGAGGCTTAGGTAGCCTGGTACAGCACTGTTGTAGTCACTATTTATTTTTGCTTGTCAGCATTGCACTGCATTATTTTTAAAAGTACTTATGATTGGGAAATTGGGAGTTCTTACATAAAAATACCAGTCTCCAGCTTCTCTTGAAACATTAGTAGTCTGACGAACCTGAGTCTGTGTTTCTCCAGGGTGCTAAGTTTCTGGCACTGAGTTCCCTGCTCCCATCAAACTGGATGCCCCTCTTCAGGGCTCTGTCCAGAGCCACCTCATCTGTCTCTGGCCAGCACAGTGGAAGATCAGTTATCCAAAAGTGTCTGTTTCAGCTGGGTTCAAACCTACCATATTCTATAATCACTAGAACCTGGAATTTCAAAAAGGGGTGGTGCCCTGATGCCCACCAGTGTGTCAGAGGGCAGTGCCAGTTCAGGGTACAGTCTCTCATCTGCACTGTTCACAGGGTATAAGCAGGAAAGGGCAGTTGGGGGAATCAAACAACTGTAGAGGCCAGAGGTAACGTGGAATTAATAATTCAGGGCTATTAGGTGAATTTCTCTTCATCTCTGTTTTTCTCTGTATGAGCTTCATTCTCTTAAACTCTCTTAAGCAGATCTTGCCCAGCTGTATTAATATGGGTGTCAGCTCCAACAGCATGGGTACCTGTCAACTGAATAATTTTAACATCAAGATGTTACCTCCTGCTTGGTAGTTAGAACAAAACCTCCTGACATCTGTTGGTACACCTTGGATTCTGTGCCTATTGCTGTCAAAACAATGAGAATGATAGGATACTCTGGGTGGGCACTTGTGCCCACTGTGTGAGTTCAGATGGGGTTTGAATCTAGTTCACGTGGATCAGGATGGGGAATGTTTCCCCAAGGAGCATCTGAGTAGTGGTACCAGACATGGAGTAGAAGCAGAAGAGGAAAAGACCTCTGGCAACCTCATCATGAGTCGTGAAATTTTAGTGGAAATATCTGTTTAAAAGACTAGACATGTTCTCCAGCCAACATTTAGGTTACTTTCCTTCTCAACTGTGTCACTGGCAGTTACTCACCAGAGAAAGATTTGAAAACAGTCTTTTATTATTCCTCACTCTGCCTTCAGTAAATCAGAAATGTCTACAGGAGAATTACTGTTGGAGAGAGAATTAACGACAGTCCCTGATTATAATGTTGTAAAGCCCCGTGGAGAGTGACATTTAATATCATCCGCCTTATAAAAATTCAACCAGAATGTCAGCCTTGCTGTTTGTGGATGCTTTGATGGCATCACCTCTTGATTTTTTTAGTTAATAAGAAGACAAGGAGACTCACATCTTCGAGCCTTCTTTTAAGACCCAAGTCAAATCAGACCACCCACATGATGCTGTTCTGAGGATAACTGTCTCAGTTTTCACAGGAACATTCTCCTCACTTTTTCCAAAAGAGGCTTGAATCTGACTCATGGTATAGCTGTCTCTGTATTCTAAATTTTTGTAAACTTTCCAATTTGATTTTTTCAGTCTTTGATCTTTGCAGAATCTATCAAAATGGACAGTAATTTCTCTGTGTTTTCAGCATTGACTTTTTTCTTGCCCCCAAGAACCTTCTGAATTATGAAACCAAATGATACCCATGCAGTGAGAATGATGCCCAGGCCATTTCAGGGTCTTCTTAGTTGAAGAGGCTTTAGGGTTTGTGTCCTAAGTTTGTTTATTCTCTGACATATCCAAACATGTGAGCAGTGCACTTTGGGGGCCTTTTCTTTTCTCTTCTTTCTTTTCAGGTAAAGTAGATTTACTACATCATTTGGATGCTTTCATTTAAAAGAACTTTCTTCTAAGTAAAACAGAATAAAGTCAGTGGCTAGCAATGAAGAAAGCATAAGGGCGTTTAAGAATATACATGCTTGCAGAACTCTGCAAATGGAGTCTGATTGATGATTCTCACTCTCTATCTCTCCCACCCCCAACCTCCCTAATTAAACAGCCGATTCTGGTGACCAAGAAGAGCACACCCTCCAAGAAACAACACTACTGCCTGTGAATAGTAGCGCCAGTGCTGCTCCCATCACGGACCCTTCTCAGAAGTTCCCTCAGTACCTACCTCTTTCTGCAGAGGATAATTTAGGTCCTCTACCTGAAAACTGGGAGATGGCCTATACCGAAAATGGAGAAGTCTATTTTATAGAGTAAGTATGTTATTAATGTTACCTGAATCTCTTCCTTTCTCCCCCCTTCCTTCTCTCTACCTAGCAGCTATAGATGTAATTTAAAAGTAAAAGCATTGACCCCACTCTGAAAATATTCTCATGCACAGTTCAACTAGCCTTGTATCAAAAGTAATTAACATAACATTGAATCATTGAGCCTAAAGAGCTCCAGGAAACACAAGGTTAGTAATTGACCTAATGGATTAGACATCTAAATTATAGTGTTTAAAGAAATGATGGTATAATAAATATATAAAGAATATGTTTAGTCATTAAAAATAGGTAAATCATTAGCTTATATTTTTTTAATTGGGTTATACTTTTGTTTTGTTGCATTTTAAGATCTCTTCATGTATCCTACATAAAATTTCTTTATCATATTTGTGATTTGCACACATTTTCTACAAGTCAGATTTTTCTTTTCATTGTTCTGTGTTTTCAAAAGAGCCAGAAGTACTTAATTTTGATGTTCTAGTTTATTACTTTTTTATGGATTGTGCTTTTACTTAATAGCTAAGTACTCTTTCCCTAATCTAAAGTCATAAACAATTCATTTTTTGTTTTATTTCACTTACAAGTTTTGCATTTTAATATATGACCTATTTAAAGTTTCTGTGTGTGTGTGTTTTTTTTTTTTTTAACATGGAGCAAAGTTGAGAAAAAAGACTAGAAAGTCATTCCAAATTACAAAACTTTTATGTACTTAAACGATTAATAACTAACCTTTGCTCTAAAGGGGAAAAAACATATAATTGAAATCATTTTTAAAAATCTAAAGTAAGGCCCTCCCTGGTGGCGCAGCGGGTTAAAGCACAGCACTATGAAGCTTATGCCACTTCCGCATAAGTTCGATTTCCGCCTGGCCCGGAGGAGACCACATGGCGTGGCAGACCTCTCCTGACCCGCCCGCTGCTCCCCTCAGCAGTGTTCTTCGTCAGTCAGCCTGTTCTGCTCCCCACTCTGTCTCTGGTGAATCCTCTCACCCTTCGTATCTCTGGCCTGTACCCCAGTTCTGTATGAATAAATAAATAAATCTTTAAAAAAAAAAAAACCAAAAACTAAAGTAATATGATTTCTTAGTGGAAAATAGTCAATTTTTAAAGTGTTCTACTTTATCATTCTGATTCTGTATTAAGATTCACCACAGTTTAATTTACCACTTAAAAGACCAACAAAATTACCAGTTAAACTACAAATAAATGTGTCTTTTTGTCTGTGATTATGTTGCTATAGTTTTACAAATATAAAACTCTGAAAGTATTGTATATATGCTAGCATGAACACAGCATTCAAAATAAAATATAACTCACTTTTACTTCCAAAAACCCCATTTTGGGATAAGTCTAACAAAACATGTAAAGGATTTTGTATGCTGCAAAGTATAACATTATGAAAGAAATCAAAGAAAATTGAAATAAATGGAGAGACACACCTCATCCATGGGTTGAAAGCCTCAGAATTGGCATAGTAGAGATATCAGCTCTCCCAAATGGACATTCAGGTTTAATGCAAATCCTGTCAAAATCTCAGCACAGCTTTTTGTCAGAATAGACAAATTTTATCCTGAAAAATAATACATAGAAAGGCAAAGGAATCAGTACAACTAAAACATTTTAAAAAAGAGCAACTTATTCTTCCTTTCCAAGGAAGAATAATCAGTCTACATGATAGCAAGCCTTGATATATTGCCACAGTTAAAAGGCTATGTGGTGTAGATGAAGGACTAGACACATAAATCAGAAACAAACTCACAAATGTGCCCAACTGATTTCCAACAATAAGGTAAAATAAATTCAGGGCATGGCTTTTTCAGTAAAGCCATGGTGCAGCAGGTAGTTAGCCAGAGGCATATGTCTTAAATCTAACCTAAACCTCATACTTATCCAGAAAAAATTAATTCAAAATGAGTCATCACAGGCTTAAGTGTACTTTACAAGACAATAAAGCATTTAGGAAAATACAGAAAATATTTGAGATCTGGGACTAGGTAAGGAGTTCTTAGATTGATATCAAAACATCATCTGTAAAGGGGATAATTTATATGTTTAACATCACCAAAAATAAAAACTTCTGCTTTGCAAAGATCCTGATGAAAGATCTTTGAAAAGACAAGCTATAAGAAAATATTTGTATATCCCGTATCTGAAAATGAGCCAGTATCTGATATTTGTGTATGTATCAAGAAGTCTCAAAACATAAGTTAGAAATACACACAGAAGCATTCAATTATAAAATGAAAAAAAAAAATCATGAATAGATATTTCACTGAAGAGTATCTAAAGATGGCAAATAAGTACATGAAAATATGTTCAACATCATTAACTATTAGGGGAATTTAATTAAAACCACACAATGTGATATCATTACAAACCTATTAGAGTGACTGAAATAAAAGATAGTGACAACACTAAATGATGGCAAAGATACAGAAACTGGATAACTTATACTTTGCTTGTGGGCATGCTGGCAGTTTCTAAGAAAACTAAACATGTAACTACCATACAAAGCAGCAAAGAAACATTTGGCCAGAGAAGTTAAAACTTAGCTTCAAATAAAAGCATATATATATATATATATATATATATTTACAAATGTTTATAGTAGGTTTATTCCAAATAATCAATCTAGAAATGACCTAGGTGTTCCTCAGTAAGCTCTGAATGCATCCATAGCTGCAATACTATTCAGCAGTAAAAAAAACAATGGAGATTGTTTTGAAAAAACAGTTTCAGTGAGGACTACACTGAATGCAAAATTCTAGTCCCCAAATACTGCATACAATATGAATTGACATATGTAATGTTGTTGATATGACAAAATTATAGAAATGGTGCAGTGATTACTGTCTGCCAAAGATTAAAAACGGTTTGGCCAGGTAAGGGTTGGGAGGGATCCTTATGAGAATGGAAATGTTTTCTATTATGTGTCAATATCAATGTCCTGACTACAATATTACAGTGTAGTCCTATAAGAACAGGGTTGGTGGCAACAAGGCTGGAGGGTCTCTCTGTGTTCTTTCTTATAACTGTAATTTTTTTTTTTAAGATTTATTTATGCAAACAGAGCTGGGGTATAGGCTAGAGGTGCAGGTGCAGTGAGAGGATTCACCAGAGACAGAGTGGGGAGCAGAACAGGCTGGCTGATGAAGTACACTGCTGAGGGGAGCAGCGGGCAGGTCAGGAGAGTTCTGCCTCGCCATGTGGGTCACCTCCAGGGCAGGGATTGAACTCATGCTGAAGTGGCTTTAGCTTCTTAGTGCTGTGCTTTAACCCACCGTGCCACCAGGGAGGGCCCTATAACTGTAATTTTTATAACTATTATCTCAAAAATTTAAAAAAATTCTACATGGTCTCCCCCCCTCGCCCACCCCCAGCCAAGAGCACTTGTGTGATCTTATTGTGTACAATGGTGAAGAACATGAGGACTGGTGCTCTGACTCCTTGGGTTTGAGCCACAGTTCTGCTAGCAACAGAATGTCCTTGGGCAAATGTCTGTACTCATGCTGCTCAATTTTCTCACCTATAAATTGGGAGTAATCAACTTAATACTGAGGCTCCTTCTCTCCTAGGATTATTGTAAGGATTAAATAAAATGTAAAATACTTGTGAAAACAACAGTTTCTGCTAGTTTTCAGTGAGCAAGTAAACTGGCCGTGATTGTTGAACAGTATCATCTTCCATTTCTTTTTCCTTTAAACACCATTGAGATAATGTGTGTATATATTTATACATTTTGTTTTTCAGTAATTATTAAGATTCGAACCTAGCAGGTATTTGGTTGGCATGTCTCATGTAGAAGTAACTTTCTATTTTTGATCAACTAAAAATCTTTTCCCTTTTTGACTTCTCAAAGCCTGGTAAGACTGTTCAATATTTAAAAGGCTTTGTAATAAACTGTGTTAAAAAAAAAAAAAGTTGATGAGAAAATAAAAAAGATTTGAACCTACAAAGAACCATAGTAATTTTTTAAAAATTTATTTTTATTTATACATAGAAGACCTGGGGTCTAGACCAGAAGTGCAGGCGCTGAGAGGATTCACCAAAGACACAGTTGGGGACGAGAGGGACTTCCCTGTTGGCATAAAGGGTTAAGATGCAGCACTATGAAACAATCCTCAGCTACTGCAGTTGGACCCGGGCCAGGGAGGTGACTCACATCCCCCAATGGACCTGTCCTGTTTCTCGTGATTCTCCCCTCAGCAGTGTATTTCAGTAGATTGACCTGTTCTTCTCTACTGTCTCTAATAAATCCCAACCACTCCCACCCACCCACCCCCACTCACATTTCTGGTTTGCACCCAGCTCTTGTGTGCATGAATAAATAAACCTTAAAAAAAAAAAAAGTAGGAGCAGAACAGGCAAGTCAAGTGAAATACACTGCTGAGGGGAGCAGCAGATAAGGCAAGAGAGATTTGCTGCGCCATATAGGTCACCTCTCTGCCTGAGGATCAAACTCATGCACAGTAGCTGGCAATAGCTTGATAATGCTGAGACTTTAACCCCTTTGCTACCAAGGAAACCCAAGAACTATAGTAATTTTTCAACATATTTATGATCTATATTTCATAAGTTCAGAAAAGCCTAGGTCACTTCATGACATTCAAAACACTTGTTTTTAATTGCTGGTTTGCAACTGGAAACTACTGGGATAAGGGTTCTTTGTCACCTGTATTTAGCTTGTGTAGAGTGGACCAGGTGTTCCAGCAGAACTCTGTTGCAATGTATTAATCTTCTTTGGGTCAGTTCTTTCAGTTATTTGCATGATATTTCTGACATGATTAAAGGTCAGCCTTCTTGGGAATGTTCCTATAGACTTTCAGACCATTAAGGCTTACAGCACTGTCTGTGGAATGCTTCATATAGAGCTGAACTATATCCTGCAGCAGGAAGTCTGCATATATGGTTAGCTTCTCCAAGCTTTTGCTTGGTCCAGGATTTATTTATGATAGGTAATTTCAGGTTGCCTTCACTATGTCTGAAGCGTAATTTAGGACTCAATGATTAATGACATGTGTTAGCAGCTTTGAGCCACTTCTCTGAATTGGGGCTAGTTTCACACTGTCATGAGGATTCTTATGTAATGTAATGAGTTTCCAAATAGCAGCCTTTTTGTGAATTCTAGCATCTAACATTTAAATCACAGACAAATAAAAATTGGAGTTTGCTTTTTGGCAAATGGAAATAAGTAAAATAAGTGTAGACCAGGTTAGACAGTATAGACAGGAGGTCTATTTGGAACTCATTTTTCAAAAATAAAATTAGTATTTTAAGCTTTCTGTAATAGAATGATTATATCTGAGGTGACAAAAAAGCTTACCTAATATTCTGCCCAAACCATTTTATAATTACAAATGTGGGCTGTCTCTCTTCCTGGTTTTGCTGTTGAGAAGGATCTTTGCTTCAGTTAAACAGCACATATTCAATATTGTTTAATTCTTTTGTTATTGGACTTACTGTCTTCTTTGTTTTCAAACAATATTTTTTGCCTGGATTTCAGCCATAACACAAAAACTACATCTTGGTTAGACCCTCGGTGCCTGAACAAGCAGCAGAAGCCTCTGGAAGAATGTGAAGATGATGGTAAGGGGCCCAGAAGGTCTTGGTCTAAGTGAAGTGGTGGGGAGAGCATTGTTAACATGCAAAAGTTTAAAAAGTTAGAGCATATCAGCCAGATTTTAACAGTGAATTGTTTAAAGGTGATCTAGTAGTCTAGTAAATGCACTGTGGTTTCCAAAAGCAGGAGGGAAATCAGGAAAACTGGAAAATACTATTTGCTTATACATAAAGGCAGATGTATACTGATATCCCCATTATAAATTGCAGTTAGTCTAGTCAGAAACTATTCAAATGAAGATATCACCTCAGTCTTCAAACAGAGCAAACTCTAGAAAGTCTATGGAAATATGCAAACCTAAGATGCTCTGCTATGAAATATCAGACCCCAGCTGTATATTTTGACAGAGTTAGAGGAAAAAATCAAGAGCTCTTCTTGAACTTTACATGTTTCATAATTTTATCATTTCACCATTCTTGGCATAGAGAAAACAGATCTTGACTTCTTTAGGGATCTCTCTGTAAGACAGACTACAGTCTAAATATCTGGAAAGTATATTCTTCCAAGAGAGGAACTAAGGAGCTAGCCACAGCTCCAGTTTCCCTATTAATATTGGAAAAGAATTAACTGGCTATAAGATTTAATATTTTAAAATTTATTTCAGGGCTTTGGTTTTCTAATCACTTTCCCAAAATGGGGGCGGGGGGAAGCTCTCTCAGAGCAAATGTGTTCCTTTTTCTACCCTGAAGTCTGCCCCAAGTTCACCAAAATTACTTTTTGACATGGACGAATTAAAAGGAAAATGGCTTGTTTTGCTACTCATTATTCATTTCTGGCATTTGAGTTAGTAGGGTAATTACTGAGTTCATTTTTACTGTAAGATAGTGAAATGTTATTAATTTGTCCTACAGAGCAGAATTGTTGTATATATAAAGTTGAGGTTAGTTTGAAAATATGAGCCTCCACAGTTTTACCTGAATTTCATATTACATGAAATTGACATAGGATTGCATATTTAATACTTACCTGAATGACTTCATGTGAAAATGTAGAGGCCTCCTACTTGGGCAGCATGGCTGAATGCTTTATATTTTAGTTCCATTCCTATACGAGGTATGGAACAGGTATGGCCAGCTGTTCTTTTGTATGCTTATGAGATAATGGACTGTCCTTATTCAAATAATCTGCTTAATATATAATGTATAGGTGACCAGTTTTCAAAGATCAAAATATACTTTCAACCATAAAACTTCACAGAACAAATTTTAATCTTAAAAATACTAATCTTTATGTGAAGCCTGATGATTTTTAAAACATTTTTAGACACTTTTATTACCTTAGTGTCTTCAGTGTCAGTATCTATTATAGTGGGAATATATGAAAATTGTTGTCAATATTATTTTGTAGATGACAGAAAACTCTATAACTTTTATGGAGAATAGCTGTTAATGGAACATATGTTGAATAGAATTGAATGGAATTACTGAATGATTTTGTCACCAAATCTTGTAATTTTTTAGAATTCTTCTCACTGATGTTAATGTAACTTCCTTAGAATAAGTACTTGTTCATATGCAGTTTGGTAATTATCCCTTCCACATTAGAATTCATATATTTTACTACTAGTAGAAATTATACATATGGTCTCTGTGGCTGCATATGCAAGCAAAATAAATATCTAGATCATGGCATTCTAACAAGTATCAATTCCATAGCCACATTTTCTCTTCCAGAATCCGGAGCAAAGTACCTTGTGTTGTTTATATCATGACACAAGAATAGTTTTTATGGGCACTGTATTATTCCCGTATTTCATTCCTCTCTCTGTAAGTTACATACATTTGGAATGTAACAGTAGAGCGTTACACTGATTGAAAATTTCAGAAAATTCCAGAAAATTTTATTTTCTCTCATTATCTCTAAAAAATGAGAAATTAGTTTCTCCCAGAGTGGGTAACTCCTTTTGTCATTGTATGTCTGTAGTTCTGTTAGCAGCCTTCAAGTTTGCCTCTGAGCTCCAGACCAATGTTTTAATCTGCCTGGTTGATGATAGCCTACAGGATGTCTCCAGGAGTCCTCAAACTCGTTGTGATTAAAACCTTACCAGTGAGCTATCCTCTGAAAATCTGATCCTCTGTCTTCCCTATGCCAAGAGCCTCTCCACATTCTCTATCTCAGTTGATAGTAAGATCATTCATATGTAAGAGTAGCCCTTGACCTATTTTCTTCATACCCATTTCTAATTCATCTACCACTTGAATTCATTTCCCTTCCATTCACTGTTTTCTTCATACTCTACCACCCTATTCTAAGCTATGTTTATCTTCCATCGAGACTCTTATCCCCTCACCTCACACTGTACTCAGAGTAATCTTTCAAAATGTAAATGTGATTGTGTGAGTTATCATGGACCATGTCCCCTAGAGCTCTAATATTTGGTTCTCTGTTCTGCTCATAAATGCCCAGTCCACAGCTCTCCTCTCAAAGCCTTGTGTGGTATGGCGTCCTCATGCCTCTGCTCACTCTGCTGTCATGCCCATTAGTTCTCATGATCACTAATTTCTTCCTCCATGACAGCTAAATATACAGTCCTCTCAGTATATCCATATTTTTCATAAATATTTTAATGCCTTCTGTATGTCAAGAACTTTAGGTATACCCATAAACAACAAATAAAAAGTCCTGTTCTCAGATTCTACCCATTTTTTCACTCTTAAGTCTTTCCATTAAAGTTTGTGTCCTTCTAATTACAATTCACTCTTTTCCCATGAGTTTGTCCCCATTCTGTTATCACCTTCCTCTAGAAAACTTACCTCAGCTTTAATTTTATTTTTATTTATGTGAACTTTGATCACATCCACCACAAAGAATGCAGATGTGTTTTGTTATGCTCATTTTGACATTTCTAATGTCTAGAATAGGGATTGATTAGTAAATGATAGGTATCACTAAATGATTATTGAAAAAAATGAATGAAAGTAAAAAAAATATTAAATAATATCTAGGTGAGCAATTTCATGAAAGATTTTGAGAAAATCATACCCCTTTTTAAGAAATATGCTGGTGGCAACACTTAAGGACTGCAAGTATATTCAAGGGCCATGTTTGTTATGAATGTCAGTAATCAATCAATGTTCATTTATTCATTCATTTTAAAAATATCTAATATATACTCTGTGACCAAAAATTACACTGGATGCAAGTATGGAGCATTTACAGTTGTGAAAACAGGCTCAGTCTCCGTGTCTTTGGAACTTATAGTGGAAGGGACAGCCACCGCTCTCTAGCTGGAGAGATCTTATGTCTGAATTGATGATGTTGTTGTATGCTGTCCTGTATTTTCTTCTTAGCTACAATGAAATGTTTTACTGACAACAAGAAGAGGTCAACAGTGGAAAGGACCTTGACTTGTTTTGCTCACTGAAGTTATTGAGAACGTTTTCATTTAAATATGTGAGCTGTGTGACTTAGAAATCGTAGGCCGAGTAAACTCTGCCTCCCAATACTTGGAAGGAGGCAGCCTGGCTCCTTGACATATGAAAGACATTGAAGCTGTAGCTCACTTTACAATTTGTATTGTCATTTTGGCCTCTTTCCATTTTCAGGCAGCAGTATTACTTATAGGTTAAATAATGCTTTAATTGTGAGTGTAATTGCCTTGGTGATTAGAGAATTATTGAAGGATTAAAAGGAGTACTATTGAAAGGTCTAACAGCTTTGTTTGTTCGAAGTAAGGTCTGTAATAAGTGACTTTCCACTTAAGAACATTGAAACCACAAAGGTATTTGTCATCTTTTACAACCAATCAAACCCTATTTTGACATGCAAGGAAATGAGCCCTATAATTATGTTGCCAATATCAGCTTTTACCATTTAGTGATTTACACTGAGGTCTCCAGTTTACTAGCCAAGCCAATGAAATAAGCCACAATGCAGGTAAGAACAAATTAAAGTGATGTGTTTGCTGCTATTTTTCTAAGGGGAGTTTCTTTCTTGGTGCTGGTGTCTGAATTTTCTCTCTTTTCTATCTCAATTCCTGCTATTCCTTTGGAGAAGAAGGGGTCCACACCGAGGAGCTGGACAGTGAACTAGGTAAACCCTTCTAGCCTGTGCTGCATGACTTGCCTGAGTAGTCGTGTCTCTAGTGAACTGCATAATGCCTTGGTTTCTTTAGTTTGCACTCCTCCAATTTTGACTTTCCTTCTGTCTTAGCCATGAAAGGTCAGTCTTACAACCCAGGTGTCTGCAAGCATCACACGGAGTTGTAATTAATTGTGTCTGTAAGGAAAAAGTCAGTGAATTGAGACTAAAATGAGAGTTAGCAAACTGCCAATAGGATGCCTTGTAAACTGAGGATTAAGAAAAATCTAAGTGGGTAGGTGATTGCTGTGTCCCTTGAATTCTCCTAAAACCTGTCACAACTTCTTTTCTTTATTTGCTTGGTGTGGGTGGTTATCTACAGGGTCCCACAAAAGCAAAATGGAAATCCAGCAGATTAATTTAAGCATCTCTGTAGGAGAGTAATCACAGTACGTATGTACAGTGACTAACTGCATAACTAATAAGTCTTAATATTGTGTTGTTACTAAGTCAGTGATCAAATATTAACCTTGTAACTGTAGTGTAACTGTAGCTCAAACACCAAATGCTGGTTTCGGAGGTCCAATTTTCCTTACAGTGTCTGTAGCAATGTTAGCTATTGTGGTCAGAAATAATTTACAATAACAAAGAATACCAAAACTCTATTACCTTTCCTCTTGGAATATAATGGCTTAAATTACCTGCTAACTTAAACGCATTATGCTTAATTTTAAGCAATATTAACATCCGTATGTGTTCTATTTGATGCATCTACTGAAGAATAAATGAGAAAGCAGAAGTTTTGGCCAAATTACAGATGAAAGCCTTCGGTGACAGAAATTTGACGATAGTGTGTTTTTAAAATAGAAGATTATTTGATATTAAGGGATTTAACAATCAACCTAACATTTCTGAGATTCCCTTAAGAATAAAAATTGTAAATATTAAATACAGGCTTTTGTTTTCATTAAATTTTTGTTTTGTTACAAAGATAATTGCAGTTTCTAGCATTATGATATAATAGAATTTAGCTGATTTTCTTAATATTGGAACCATATCCTGTTATAATTGAGTGATACCAACAATGGCCAGTCACTATTGATACAATTTTGTAAGTGTTGGCTAAGTTGTCCTTATAAACCATTGTGGTGACTATGACCTCAGGTTCAACCTGTATTACAGAATAACTTGAAATGAATTCCATGCAAAATAAAACTTATCAAGCCAAGGATATTAACTGAAAAAGACAACAAGGTTTTCTAAGCAAAAAAGTGTCTTAGCCATTTCCTGAAGCAACATAAACATCTTAAGGTATTGTTATTGTTCCTGAAACAACTTAAACCACCTGAGTAGAATGAGTGACCATTGCCATCTGGTGGAGAGAACACAGTTCCATAGTCAAAATCTTATTTGTTCCTATGGGAGTTTGAAAGTTGATATTTTTAGGAAAGAAATTCTGTATTATTTTTCCCCATGCAACTGTAAGATTCTGGGAACTTTCCTATTCTGTTAAAGACTTTAAGAAAGTAAGATCTAACGGCTACCTAGTATCCCTTCTTGTGATCATGGTAGTTCATTTTGGGTGATGGTTTGCTAAGTGTTGGAGCGTCTTTGGCTTACACGCAGGTGAGCAGACATAATGAAAATGGGTCTTAATATTTTTCACTCTGACCAATACATATTGTTAATTTTTAAAGACTTTATTTATGCATAGAAGAACTGGGGTGCAGGCCTGAGGTGTGGGGTGCTAAGAGGACTCACCAGAGACAGAGTGGGGAGCAGAACAGGCAAGCAAGAGAGGTCTGCTGCGCCATGTGGGTCAGCTCCCTGGCCTGGGATGAAACTGATGCTGCAGATGACTGCAGATAGCTCCATAGTGCTGAGATCCAACCCCTTTTCGCCACCAGGGAGGCTCTACTAATTGCTGTTTTTAACAGTTATTTATTACCTAATTCCACATTATTGATACTTCCTTCTGGGACAAGAGGAAATGTGTAGACTATAGAAGTGACCCAAATGTATTCTTTATAGAGATGGGGCTCTTGATTATTGTCTGCACGTGTCCTCTGTGTATAGACTGTGGTGTGTGTCCACACACAGTTTTCTGTTACATTCACTTACTCATTTTCTTTTTTTTTTTTTTTTAAGATATATTTATTTATACACACAGAACTGGAGTACAGGCCAGAGGTGCAGGGGTGGTGAGAGGCTTCACCAGAGACAGAGTGAGGAGCAGAATGGGCAAATCAACAAAGCACACTGCTGAGGGGAACAGGGGGCCGGTCAGGAGAGGTCTGCGCCATGTGGGTCACCTCTGGGGCAGGGATCAAACTCATGCTGAAGTGGTGGATTCACCAGAGACAGAGTGGGGAGAACAGGCAGATCGACAAAGTACACTGCTGAGGGTCGCAGTGGGCGGGTCAGGAGAGATCAGCTCCCTGGCCGGGAATGGAACTAGTACTGCAGTGGCTTCGGAGAGCTTCATAATTTGGTGCTTTAACCCATTTTCCACCAGGGAAGGCCCTGTAAGCACTCTCTTTTAACACACAGGCAACGTTGGAGGTAAAGGTAAAAGGTATAGTTCTGAAAGTTAAGTAATTAACCCGAGCCCAGACTTGTAAAGCTTCTGAGCTAATCAGCAAACCTTAAGTGTTGGGCTCTGGGCAACTTCCAAAGGATCTCAGACTCCTGAGTTATCTGTGACAAACGGATAGTCTGTTGGATGACTGACAGGTGTTAACATGGAGGCAGAATAAACCTTCAACTTCTTCAGAGTGTTTAGCTCTAAAATATCGTAATGTCATTAATTTCCAGGTTTAAAAATGTTCTGCAATTTTTAGTTTTTTAGGACCAAATGGAAAATTTAAGGAGAAACATCTTCCTTTTTAAATCAATGACCCATTTCTATTTTAAGCATTAGGAGAGTAATTCCTATTATTAAGTTAATCACCACATTGGAAATGAGAAATTTATCTTTTCAATTTAAAATGAGCTTTAGCTTGAAAAACTGGAAAATGTTTGAAGTTTGATAATCTGCTCCAGAATATATTTTTAAATTTACTCATGTCCTGATCTACCAGGTGACTGACCCTATTTTTTTTTTTAATTTATTTATTTATGCATACAGAACTAGGTACAGGCCAGAGGTGCAGGGCAGTGAGAGGATTCACCAGAGACCGAGTGGGGAGCAGAACAGGCCAACTGACAAACTACACAGCTAAGGGGAGCTGTGGGTGGGTCAGGAGAGGTCTGCCGTGCCATGTGGGTCACCGCCGGGGCTGGGATTGAACTCATGCTGCAGTGGCTTTAGCTTCTTAATGCTCTGCTTTAACCCGCTGCATTACCAGGGAAGGTTCTGACTTACCCTATTTTTAAGTATAAAGTGTACATTGTACATTGTTGACTGGGTGACAGGAGAGTCCTTCACAAACCTACACTCATTAAAGCATTTACCATACAGTGTTTGAATTGTCTGAAATTATCTTTGTACCCCTGGTGCTTAGCACACTGTGGGCACACAGTAAACACTCAATAAATGTTTTGCAAATTAAAAATTGAATGAAGTGAATTCTTAATAATTTCCCTAGTTTACCTGAAGATAATTTGGCCTCATAGGAAGTTGGCAGAGTTTTTAAAATTTCACTGAACCATAGTGCAGGCCATTCACACCACTCTTCCGCCCCATGTCAGAACAAACACAGGACTCTGCCTCAATTTGCATTTTTTAATCTTCTGTTTCCTAACACTTTGGAAACATTTTCTGCTTCATTTTCATTTAGATGATAATTTCCAGCTTTGTAAGGGGAAACCATTTCTCAGGCATTTGATTTGCATCAGTCTGCAAGACTCGTGTATAAAAATGCCAAGTTGTAGCAACATCTGCTCATTGGACCTGTCTTGCATTTTAGTAGCTCATGTCTCCCAGAATTCAAAGCCTTCTTTAAACCTGCGAAGTGTTTTTTAAAAATTAGAAGAAAATGGGGAAAACCTGTCTCTTTGTTTGCAAACAAATAACATGTGGAGCAAAAACCATGAAATTAATGTCTCTTGATGTGCAGCCAAATCTGAACAAAACATAAACTTTGAGTAATTAGCCTGTGTGTTGTGTGTGTGCATGTGACTCCATTTCAGCACGGAACTGTTTGTGGCATATGTAAGCCCCAGGTCCTGATGAAATCGTCACTATTTAGAAATAGTAACCTCATGTGTCTTTGAATTTAAAAAGTCCTAGAATTTCAAATTAAGTGATATCACAAATGTTTGTAAGATCCTGTTCAAGTTGGCCTTAATAATCCCTTTTAGGAATAATGATTCACTTTGGCGTGTGGTATGTCATAAGTGTGCCTTAACTCTGCATACATTAGGGTGGCCTTGAAATTAAGTTAAGCTGCTCTTCCTGAAAGAATTGTTTCATGGCATGAAACACAATCTAGTTACTTCTTGCACTAAGTCAAATTATCTGGTGCAGTGGACCTTTGCACAATAGTTTCTTGTATCAGAACTCACTACTACATACTGAAGGAAGTTCCCACCTTTGATTATAAAAACCTTATGAAATAAACTTCAAAATCGCACATTGAGTTTGCAGAAAGACACCTATGTCTACCAATGCAATTTGACTACCACCTTCAAAAGAATAAAACCTTTTTGCTTAGCATTGAGTTCTCAAAGAGTAGGATCTGTGTTTCTGCTTCCATAGATCAAGTGCTGAGGATTAAGGGCCCAGCCAGTGACAGCAGTTGAGGGATAGATTCAGGCAATTCAGAAATCCAACTCTGGAAGAGCATTTTCATTTATTCTGTAGGTTTTAAATGAGGGGTCAGGAAAAACAAGATGCAAATTTTATTTTATTACACGAACAGCAAAATCAGCACTTCTGTAATGAAAATTAAAAGAAACATTAATTTTCATCCATTTTTGCTTGTGTAGTAAGGTAGTCTAAAAAGAAAATGAGAAAAGTACAACTATTTAAAGTGGGACCTAGGTATTCAAGGCTAATTTAACTATATTTCCATTAAAATCTAATTTAATAGTTGAGTTAGAATAAAAGCACCTGAGACTGCATTTTATTGTTTTGTTTAAAAAAAAAAATTGTTCATCATGTAGAAAAATGCACTCATAAAATAAAACAATCCTTATAAGACATGTTTATGAGTTTTTCTCTTTTTGCAACTTGGGTGTTGGAAACCTAAGCCTTCATGAATGTGGCCTTCTTGCACTAAATGTTCTTTTATATTTCAGAGTTGCCTGCTGGTTGGGAAAAGATTGAAGACCCTGTGTATGGTATCTACTATGTAGAGTAAGTGCCAGTTCATCCATACTCTAGTTCATACCTCCCTATCCTCCCTATAATTTATGTACATTTATGCTGAACAGTATGCCCTCGTAAGGTACAAACTAAATAATAATAATAATAATAATAATAATAATAATAATAATAATAATATGACATCAACTGCATGATAAAAAATATTTTATTATTTTAATAATATCTTGATAATAATGTGATAAATTATTATGTGTAATATATAACTTAATAATATATTTTTAATGAATCAGAATATATCCAGTTAACCTAAATGTGTAAATTGTATTTTAAAATTCACAGGGCAGAATTTGTGTCTTTTGTTTATTGCTGTGTTACCAGTGTGAAAAAGAGTCCTGAAACAGGGCAGCTACTTTTTTTTTTTTTTTTAAGAAGCAAACTTTTATTTCTTACACTTCTGGAGTCTGGGAGTTCAAAGTCAAGGTGCTGGCAAATTCGGTGTCTGGTGAAAACTTACTTCCTGATATTTATAAAGTCAGCTTTAGCTCTCAGTGGTCCTTTACATAATGCTCACCTGTGACTATTTAGGTGCCTCTCTTTTCTGTCTTTTTTTTTTTTTTTCCTTTTCCTATTCCTAATAAACCTGTCATTTTAAAATGTAAAAAAAAAAAAAAAAAGTGGGGAAAGGGGGTCACTAATCCCATCCATGAGAGCTACCTACTCAGGAGTGATCACCCCCGATATGGCAGCTACTTTTCAGTCTCTTCACTAGCTGCATGAATGAGTAAGTGAGTGTATGAGTGAGTGACTAACTGAGTGATAAAAGGAAGAATTCAGCAGACCAGATGAGTGGGGATTATTTCAGGATTAGAACCTGTTTTACCTACCTTTTTTGCTCTACCCAACCCTGACCTTCCCAGTAATTATTATTTATTTATTCAGATCTTCTAAAGGGTCAGACAAGTCGTCCCAGTGCATAAAATGTTGCCAAGATTAAGGAGGAAGATTAGTAGTCTAAGTTGTAAGACCGCTTGCCTGCCTGAGGACCAAACACGTGGCTATTTCTATTTTTAAGGGACTTAACCCCTTCTCATTTTAACATCATTCTAACCTTATTCCAGCATTGGGCATGTACTTGTCTTTTCATCAGAACCATCCATTTCTAGTGTGACATGAAAAGAAAATCAAGAAACCCAAGAGATGAAACTGAATAAATCTTCTTTGTGTCATTTTCTTTGAGAAAGATGAGAAATAACTAAGCAAAGAATCTTTGAAAGAAACAAATGCTGCATAAATGTTCTATCATCATCATCCTGCTTGCTACAATGAAGATAACTGGCACCATTTTGCTCTCTCACACTGCTGCCAATGAAAAGGCATTTGTATAATACCCTGGTGATAAGAACATATGATGTAAAAATGCCAGGCTGTAAAGTGCTCAGCATCTTATTGTAAAACATAATGAGTTCTCTACAGCAAGTGTCCTTGACCAGTGCACACATTGCCTTCTCTTGCTTAACAAGGATTGGCAGTTCGGGGCATCGGCAAGGCAAGCTCAGGTATCTTGCTGACCCTGATAAAATTAAATTCCTTTATATGCCAGTAGATGTCCAGTGGGACTCCTGCCTACGGGGAGCTCATTGAGTTCTCCCTCAGCTGCCTTATGCAGTGAAAAAAAAAAAAAAAAGGAGCAGGTGATGGCAAAATTTAATAGATGAAGAGACTTGGTTAGGGAGAGTAGTGAGCAAGTTGTGATCTCACTATACTGTTGTCTTTCTTGTGTTTTTTTGGACCTGTGTTAAGTTGTTTGTTAGAGTGAAATTGTAGGAATTAGGAAATAAACAAGCTCATAATAAGAATTAAGCGTACTCAGTCTCTCCCTACTGTGTTTGATAAGTATAACTTTAAGAAATATTTCAAGTTTTGAATAATCCCATGGTATGTCTCGAAACGTCTAAGGAAGCATGATATTGATGAAGAAAATACAGTAAAATGAACATATGTATGTTTGTGGAACATTGCAGTTGTGTGTGTTTACGTATACATACAAGTACCCTAAATAAAAGGCCACAGCAAGGAGCCACATAATGAATATGTAGTCTTGTGTGTATTTATAAGTCTGTGTGTACGTGTTTGTTTTGCCATGGCCTTCTTAGTTTTGGAAAGATCTGAAGTATCCTGTTCCTTGTCACTTTAAACTTCCCATTTGCTTAGATTAGCCGTATTTATAGTCTTTTTGACTAAGGCTTATACTTTTAATTTTGCTTCCATGTCATTGACCAAAATAGTTAACAGATTTTAGTGAATTCCTTTTAACTTAATTATTTGTGTAAATGCTTACATGTCTTTGAACTCTATTGTGGAAAGATACACAGCAGTTTGCCTTTTATCTATACATGTTGCAAGCATTACTTCCTCACTGTAATCTCATTTTCCAATATTTCTAAAATCTGCATGTTGTTGAATTAAAGTAGCTCTCCTTTGGATATTTGGGGGAAAGCCTATGGTAAAATCTTGGTATTTGGGAGCAGACAGACCTGAAATTGCATGCCTCTTTACTGCTGACCTAACTGTGTTATGTTAGCTGCACTATTAGTTAACTGCATAGAAATTTGCTTTCCTTATCTATAAAATATGAATAAAAATAGAAGCTACTTCCTGACATTTGTTGAAAGTTTTAAAATACTGTACATATAAAAGCGGTAACACAATGCTTGGAACATATAAGCAGGAAGGATGTGGAAACCTTTCATTTTTATTTCTCTCTCCTAACTGCATTCTGACATAAGATGGTCAAATTCTTAGGCTGCTGCTTTACTCAGTTCTGAATAGAGGACTTGGCCTGGTGGACATTTTGCTTGTAGAATGAAATGTTTCCTATTTGAGCACTGTCCTCCTCTGTTTCAGCCACATCAACAGGAAGACACAATATGAAAATCCAGTTCTAGAAGCCAAACGGAAGAAACAGCTTGAACAGCAACAGCAGCAGCAGCAGCAGCAGCAGCAACAGCAACAGCAACAGCAACAGCAGCAGCAACAGCCAGAAGGTTGGCTTTGTCTTGATCTCTCAACAGAGATGCTTGGGTTGAAGCCTTAGAGTTGACACCCCCTTGTGGTCAGAGCCAGCCTTCATGGTCATGTCATTCTGCCTTGTTGAGGACTTGAGGTTCTGTGGTGAGGTTCTTGAGGTTCTAGGGAAACAGTTTCAGCTAGAGTTCCCCTTGCCCTGGATCCCAGATAATTAGAGAGTCCAATTAAAAGACACCCAGATCTGGGCCCTCCCTGGTGGCACAGTGGGTTAAAGCACAGCACTAAGAAGTGAAAGCCACTATAGCAGGAGCTTGATCCCCACCCCGGAAGTGACCCACATGGCAAGGCAGACCTCTCCTGACCTGCCTGCTGCTCCCCTCAGCAGTGTACTTCATCCCTCGATCTGCCTGTTCTGCTCCCCACTCTGTCTCTGGTGAATCCTCTCACCACCCCTGTACATGTGGCCTGTACCCCAGTTCTGTACACATAAATAAATTTAAAAAAAAAAAGACACCCAGATTTGCCTTTGAATTAAGAAAGGAGCTGTAGTCAGATTGAAGAGCTTTCAGACGGTGAGAGAATATTCTTGCTCAACAACATTTACTCAGCAGTGGTGTCTTTTAACATTACATGTAAGAATGAGAGAAGGCAGCAAATTGTGAATGCTCTAAGTTAATTTATGCTATGTGAAATAAACATGAAAAATTCAGGAGTGAAAAAAACATTAGCTTGTCCCCCCACTTGCTTCTATCCCATTTTTAGAACTGTTTTAAGGAGGTACAGATATGCTCTATTAACAAAACATGAAATAATTTTATTTCTATATAACTCATTTATGTATAAATGCAATGTACACATGCATTAGTTTTATTACTTGTTTTTCTAATTTAAATATGTTTCTTTAATATTTATTTCAAAGTTGGTTAATACAGATTTCCCTTATAGGTTTTAGTGGCTGTGTAATATTCCATTTTAGAAATGTTTTCATACGTTTCTTCATTTAGTATTGTTTTTAAATATATAATCTTAGGTTTTGCCAGGTTGTCATTTCCCCAGCTTTTTAAATAACAGGCTCCCCTCAATAAAATATGTGAATATCAAATACAATACTGCTCTTATTATAATATTATATAAATAGTATAGACCATAGAGAAGACATTGGCAAACTTTTTCTGTAAATGCCAATTAATAATGTGTGTGTGTATTCACATATGGAAATGTTCTCCTTTCCACTTAGTTTTTTTTTCCATTAAAAATGTTTTTTACTATTTTTTTCCTGAGCTGGTGAGTCTTGGTGGTATTAGAAAATGCAGGTTAGAAAGAGGCAAATAGGGCAGGTTAGGTGGAAGGTGACACTTGGGTTCAGCCCAAGGATCCTCATATGAGTTATTTCTTCTGTGTCTCCAAGGAAACCAAGACTACAAGGTAGGACTCAGAGGCTTTGATATTTGGACCTCTTTGGGTTTGAAAGATGAGTGCTGAGTGCACTTGGCAGACTGCTGAAATCTACCTTTGCCACCTCAGACAAACTGGCTTCAGCCCATGTCTCAGTGACAGTAGCTAGGTTTCCTTCTCGTGGGGTCAGCTGTGGTTGATAATATCTTTGCTGGTGTTTTGTTTTATTTGATTTCACTTTGGACTCTTCTACCTGATACTACTGAAGTTTTCATTGATTATGCCACAATATTTCTTTCCTCAGTGATCTTATGAGAGGGAAGGAGAAAAGAATGAAGAGAGGGAGATGGGAGATCTTGAAATCCTTAACACACAATAGAATCAGATACCAATTTCTTTTCAAGATATGCACTCTGCATCTGGTTTTAGATGTTTGGGTTGTTTTATAATCAAAAAGAAGGTGAATTCTAAATGTGTTAGTGAAACATTTGGTGGAAAATCAATAAACTTTTTTCTCTTTCCATAGAATGGACAGAAGATCATTCATCGCTTGTGCCTCCTGTTACTTCCAACCACCCCCCAAGCAATCCGGAGCCAACCAGAGAAGCTCCACTTCAGGGTAAACAGTTTTTATATTGCATCACAGTTTTAGCTCAAAAGCCTAATTTGTTAAAGGTATTTTACAAAGTGGACTCTTTTAACTCCCAAGTCAGTCCTTGATTGTAAAAACCGTAACAATAGAAATTCCAAAAGTACTGCCAAATAAATTAGAACCATTTTAATATAAATTTCTTCCACTATTTGTACTACTCTCAAAGTAATGACTACTTATTATTAATGATCAATTGAAGTAGAATGTCTCAACCTCGATAATATTAACGCTTGGACCACATAGTTCTTTGTTGTGGGGCTGGTGCGATTATGGGGTGCTCAGTAGCAGCATGACCTCCATTCACCAGCTGCCTCTAGCACCCACTCCTCATTGCAGCCTCAAAAAAATCCCCCAGGTTCCCCTGGGGTGGGGAAGGCAAAACCCTCCCACAGTTGTGAACTGCTTACTCAGAGAGCACATGCATTTACCATTATGGTAAATAAGGGAAAGTGCAGATTCCACATTAGATATTTCAAAGTTCTAATCAACATACTTGTTTTTGATTAATATTTTCCATAAATGAAAATGTTTCATATTGCACTCTAAGTTCCTCATCTCTGCTTCTTGCCAGTTCTGACTAATACTTAGACATGTTTTACAACGTTTCATTGGATCTCACTTATTTACATTCACAAAGAGTATGAGCCCCCTAGAGAGGTTCATTTTTGTAAATTGGAAGCTCCAGAATCTTGCTACTTTCAAGCTTCATTACTCTTAAATGATAGAAAATATTTGTGAGCTTTTTTGTTGTCGTTTCTTTTTTTTCTTTTAAATAAGAAAAATGGAAGTGGGAAATATTTGTGGTTCAAAACCATTCAAAAGACTAAAATTTGTTCTGTCTAGACATTTAAAGATATATAATTGTTTAGATACAAAAAGATAAGTAGAATAATTCTCTAATTTTGATTGTTCTATTATAATTTTCATGGAAAGAAAGAAGTGTTTGCCTCTTAGCTGATACTGTCATGAGGTTCATAGTAAAAATCAATTTATGCAAAATAGCTGCTTCTACATTAATAGACATTTTTATGTTGATAGTGATGGATATCTTTAATAAAAACAGGACAGAATAAATAATAGCATCTTAATTGATAGCAAAATGATTGTGACCTCCTCAGTATTTTTGTTTTTTTTTTTAAAGATTTATTTATGCATATAAAACTGGGATGTAGGCCAGAGGTACAGGGGTGAGGATTCACCAGACAGAGTGGGGAACGGAACAGGTGGATCTTCTGAAATACACGGCTAAGGGGAACAGCGGGAGAGACAGGAGGAGTCTGCTGTGCCAGGGATGGAACTCATGCTACAGAGGCTGATTATAGCTTGATAGCACCGAGACTTTAACCCCTGCACCACCAGAGAAGTCCTCCTCAGTATTCTTGAGTATGAAATGTCCCCTGCAGCCTTCAGTATCTTACTGCTAGGGTAGGTTAGCTACATCAGCCTTTGAAGACCCTTGAACCAGCAAAACCGTAGTCACAGCCCTTGCATATCTCTGCCCTGTTAGGTGACCGCCTCTTCCTCCCAATCTTTGCTTTGGTAACTACTACTCTTCTCAGGTTTTTGTTAGATTCTCCAGTTATTCTCACACTTTTCAGCCTTTACTTTTCATTTATAGCATTGAACGTTTTATGATTATTACTCATTTGTGTTCAATTATTTAACAGTAGGTTCCTCTCTAGACTTTAAATCCCATGAAGTCAAGAGACTGTTTTTTTCTTCCTTAATATACTGCAAAGCAGACACAATCCCTTGACATCTAGTGTCAGCTGAAATTCATTGCTGAGTGGAACATGCCATCCACACTTGACAAATTGTCTGAGAGAGTAAATAAATGAAAGCTTTGTGGGTTCAGTTTTTGGGTGTCTAATGTATCAACTGAGTTAAGAGTCAGATGATTAGGAATTTTATCTCCTTCTCTTTTTCTAGGACTGTTGTTTTGTATGTCTATTTACTGCTTGGATTTCATACTGATTTAAGAAAGTTCTAGAAGAGACTCGCTGAACTCAGAACTCCCCCTGGGAACTATTCACCTATCCTAGCAAACCATCTACTTTGTGGTCTGCTTGTTGATTCTCATCTTTCAAACATAGTTATCATCTTGGACCTTAATCCCACAGAAGCCAGTTAAAATCCACGGCTTTGAGTCCAAGTAGTGATAGTAAGAAACACTAACTTGGACTTCACCATTTTTGGTTATGACTCTGCGTTAGTTTCCTGCCTGCTGGCACAGTGTCCTGATCTAGTTCTCTGAGAGTATTTCTAGAAGAAACCATAAGGCTGCTTGTTTGGTATTCATTTTACTTAGTTCACTGCTCACCTGAACTTTCCTCTGATCAAAAACACGTTCCTAATTCCAGCAAATGATAAGAGATTCACTTTTAGGAAAACTTTGCATCTTCTAGCTTGTTTTGTATCATCAAAATAATAATTTAAAGCTATTGAATCTTCATTGTGTGCCAGGCCCCTCCCAAAGCACTTTACCCTTATCTGTCACAGTTATTCTGTATATTTTCGTGAGAGGTTGGTGCAGACACCTCCATTCACACTTGTGAAACCCAGGCAGAAATGAATTCAGCTTAGTAACTTGCCTAAGTCCAAAAAGACAGTAGAGCAATTTCACCCCTGATTATCATTAGGATAATTTAATTCCTGGCTGATACCTTTTTTGCTTTCTGCAAAATACCACATTACGTAGCCTGAAATCTAGTGTTATATAGTGTGGATTCCACTGACTATATGTTGTCATTTACATTCAAATTCATTGCAAATTAGAAACAAAAAGTTCAATTCTTTTGTCCCACTGACCACCTTTCAAAAAGCTCAGTTGGGCCTCCCTGGTGGAGGAAGGGGTTAAATCTCAGCACAATGAAGCTACCTGCAGGCAGCCACTGCAATACCAGTTTGATCCCTGGCAAGGGAGCCAACCATGTAGCAGAGGTCTTCTCCTGACCCGCCCACTGCTCCCCTCAGCACCATACTTCAGTTAATCTGCATGTTCTGCTCCCCACTCTGTCTCTGGTGAATCCTCCTACCCCCTGCATCTCTGGCCTATACCCCAGGGCTTGTATGCATAAATAAATAAATACATAAATCTAAAAAAAACAAAATGAAACAAAACACAAAGGCTCAGTAGCTTTGGATGGCTAGTGGCTGCTATTCATAGTGGACAGTATGGATACAGAACATGGCCATTATCACACAACGTGCCACTGGACAACACTGGTCTCAGTATTTACACACTAGAGCCAATTTATCAGTAAACAAGCAACTAAGGATGTTTCACGACCCAGAAAATCTTAATTCAATGAGTCTAGGGTCTGCCCTAGAAGTAAGAAATGAATTCATGTTAAAAAAACTACCCCTGTAAGTTTCGTATGCACCTAGTGACCTGTCAACAGACTGGCATCTCTGAAAAATTATCAGAGGGCTGCAGCAGAGTGCACTAGACTTCACTGTTTGTGTGGAGAAAAGCATTTCCTTTCCATTAACTGATGGTCTCTCTCATACAGTAAATGCAATAAAATGTGCATAAATGTGAAATCCTTTCATCTTTTCTTTCTAGCTAAGTGTTGCGGGGGAAATAGTGGTGTAGTTTCAGAGCTCTGCTCATGTTTCTAGTAAGTTGAAAACATTCTAAGCTCAAAATATGCTAATAGCTTTCTTAAGACATTCATTCAGATAAACTGCCAGGCACATTTTCACATTCTCTAACTTTTTTTTTTTTTTTTCACCTTGATTTTCAATAGACATTCTTTATTTTTTTTTAAAGATAACATTTATTTATGCATACAGAACTGGGGTACAGGCCTGAGGTGCAGGGGTGGTGAGAGGATTCACCAGAGACAGAGTGAGGAACAGAACAGGCCGATCTTCGAAGTGCACTGCAGTGGGGAGCAGCAGGCGGGTCAGGAGAGGTCAGCCGCGCAATGTGGTCACCTCCGGGGCAGGGATCAAACTTGCACTGAAGCGGCTGATGTTTGCTTGCAGTACTAGGCCCTAACCTGTTGCACCACCAGGGAGGGGCTCTCTAACTGTTTATATAGTAAGTCTGAAATGTTGAAACACCCCACCACCTCTTTCCAACCTTCTCAAAGACTTATCAAACCTCATTTCTTTATACTGCTCAGCACTGTAGTCATTTGATGTACAAGCAGATCCTCATGGAGTTTGTATTTCAGTGACTGCCTGTAGGTGCCATGTCTTTCATGCCAGGGACGAGGCATGGCAGGTACAACACCACACACAGCAGTGAGATGTGTGATGTTGTTCAATGTTACAGACAACAATAAGGCAGGGAAGGGGGATGGCAATGTGGAAAAGGATTGCAATTTTTTTTTTTTAAGATTTATTTATTTGTGCATACAGAACTGGGGTACAGGCCAGAGATGCAGGGCGGTGAGAAGATTCACCAGGGAGAGAGGGCAGCAGAACAGGCAGATCAACAAAGTACACTGCTGAATGGAGCAGCGGCCGGGTCAGGAGAGGTCCTCTGCTCCACGTGGGTCGGCTCCCTTGCCAAGGATCAAACTGGTGTTGCGGTGGCCATGTGGGGCACCTCTGGAGCAGGCAGGGATCAAACTCATGCAGAAGTGGCTTTAGCTTCTTAGTGTTGTGCTTTAATCTACTGCGCCACCAGGGAGGGCCAAGGAATGCAATTTTTTTTTT